TTCATTGATGGCAATGCTTGCTAGAACCTTCTTCTTGGTGGTCTTATGATCATCACTATCATCATCATCATCACTTGAGGAAGCATCACTATCCCAAGTAACCACATATGAACCACCCTTCTTCTTCTTGAAGGCCATCTTGTCTTTCTTCTCTTTCTTTTCCTTCTTGTCCTTCTTGTCCTTCTTGTTCTTTTTGTTGTCATCATCATTGTCGCTATTGTATGGACATTGAGCAACAAGATGATCTTTGCTTCCACACTTGAAACATCTTCTCGACTCTTACTTGTTCTTGGATGAAGACTTCTTTCTTCTAGCACGATAGCCCTTCTTCATCATAAACTTGCCAAATCTCTTGACAAAGAGAGCAATCTTCTCATCATCATCACCATCCCATGAATCATCTTCTTCACTTGATGTTTCTTGCTTGGCTTTGCCCTTGGATGATGTGGCTTTGAATGCCATGCTCTTCTTCTTCTCATCCTTCTTCTCATTTTTCTTCTCCTTCTTTTCTTCCTTCTCATCATCTTTATATGTGTCATTGGTCATTATATCTCCCAACACTTGGTTTGGTGTCATGGTGTCCAAACCGCTCCTCACTAGAATAGTGACCAATGTCCCAAATCTTGAAGGCAAGCATCTCAAGAACTCGTGGGAGAAGTCCTTGTCCTTCACCTCTTCTTCAAGTGCTTTGAGATCATTGGCAAACACTTGAAGCCTATGGAACATCAACGGCACACTCTCATCCTCCTTCATCTTGAAGCTTGCAAACTTCTCTTTGAGAATGTATGCCTTTGCACCATTCACGGCTTGAGTGCCCTCAAATGATTCTTCCAATTTCTTTCAAGCCTCATGAGCCATCTCAATATTCTTGATTTGCTCAAATGTTCTTTCATCAATTGCATCATGAATGGCACTTAGAGCGATATCATTGTTTTGGAGAAGCACTTCTTCGGCCGCGGTGAGATTCTCCAGATCATCAATCTCAATTTTGGTTTCTACCACCTTCCACACCTTTCTATTGATTGACTTGATATATGTGGTCATCTTTAACTTCCAATATGGATAATTTGTGCCATCAAATTGGGGTGGCTTCTTAGTGTTGTTGATTTGAGCCATTTTTACACCGAAGGTTGTTAAGCCTCAAATCACGGTGACCTCGGCTCTGATACCACTTGAAAGGTCCTAATGGCTATAGGGGGGGTGAATAGCCTAATAAAAATTTCTACAACAACACTTAACAAACGAATTAGACAATTATGAGGCGAAGCGAGTTTTGCGCTAGCCTACTAAAAAATGCATGTCACCTACCACAATTCTAGTTTAGGTAGAATCTATTCACACAATAGCTTTGACACTACTCTATGTTAGTGTGCTCTCAAAGGCTAGATAAAGAGCCACACCAACCAACCAAGCAAGCTCTCACGACTAGTTACACTAAAGAGCTTGACAACTAGTTTGCGGTAATATAAAGAGTAGGCAAGAAGGTTATACCGCCGTGTAGATGTATGAACCAATCAATCACAAGTGTGGATAACAATAAAGACCAATCACCTCGGAATCAATGATGAACACAATGATTTTTTACCGAGGTTCACTTGCTTGCCGGTAAGCTAGTCCTCATTGTGGCGATACACTCATTTGGAGGTTCACGGGCTAATTGGCATAACACGCCAAATCCTCAATAGGGTGCCGCACAACCAACACAAGATGAGGATCACATAAGCCACGAGCAATCCACTAGAGTACCTTTTGGCGCTCAACCGGGGAAAGGTCAAGAACCCCTCATAATCACCACGATCGGAGCCAGAGACAATCACCACCCTCCGCTCGACGATCCTCACTGCTCCAAACCGTCTAGGTGTCAGCAACCACCAAGAGTAACAAGCAAATCTCGCAGCGAAACACAAACACCAAGTGCCTCTAGATGCAAACACTCAAGCAATGCACTTGGATTCTCTCCTAATCTCACAAAGATGTTTAATCTATGATGGAAATGAGTGAGAGGGCTTTGGCTAAGCTCACAAGGTTGCTATGTCAATGCAAATGGCCAAGAGGGTGAGCTTGAGCCGACCATGGGGCTTAAATAGAAGCCCCCATGAAATAGAGCCGTTGTACCCCTTCACTGGGTAAAACACGGGGTGACCGGACGCTCGCCCTCAGCGTCCGGTCACGTGATTCATGCCATATGTCCCCTGCTTTAAATACTGTTCGTCAGATTTCAACGGTCGTCTGCTGACCGGACGCGTCAGTTAGAAAGTGACCGGACGTTGGACTTCAGCGTCCGGTCGTTTCCACTAAGGTTCCAAACGTGATTTTTTTCGACCGGATGCGTCCGGTCATGCTTGATCGGACACAGCCAGCGTTCGGTCACACAACGTCTCCTCTATACGCCCTACGTCAGTGTACGTCAGCACTGACTGGACGCACCCCGCCAGCGTCCGGTCGCTGAGTGACCCAGCGTCTGGTCATGAGACCGAAAAGCACGCCCTCTGCTGCCACTGATCGGACGCGCCGGTCCAACCGAGACCAGCGTCCGGTCACACCTAGTGACCTCCGTCTTTTCTGTCTAGGGCGCCGGTGGAGTTTCTTACCCTTGCACCCAAACTTCACCACCCTTGATCAAATATGCCAATCACCAAGTGTATCACCTTGTGCATATGTGTTAGCATATTTTCACAAATATTTTCAAGGGTGTTATCACTCCACTAGATCCTAAATGCATATGCAATGAGTTTGAGCATCTAGTGGCACTTTGATAACCGCTTTCCGATACGAGTTTCACCCCTCTTGATAGTACGGCTATCGATCCTAAATATGATCACACTCACTAAGTGTCTTGATCACCAAAATAAAATGGCTCCTACAATTTATACCTTTGCCTTGAGCCTTTTGTTTTTCTCTTTCTTCTTTCCAAGTTCGAGCACTTGATCATCACCATGGCATCACCATCATCATGTTATGATCTTCATTTGCTTCACCACTTGGAGTGTGCTACCCATATCAAGATCACTTGATAAACTAGGTTAGCACTTAGGGTTTCATCAATTCACCAAAACCAAACTAGAGCTTTCAAAGTTGTAAGCGTATGTTTCAAGTGTTTCGGACATATGTTTCAAGCGTTTTATCTAGGTGTTGCAAAAGTAGATCTGGATGTTGCATATACATGCATGTTGCAAGTGAATGTTTCAAGTGTTTTAGGTGTTTCATATGTATGTTGCAAGTGCTTCATCTGATTGTTGCATATGTTTTACAATGGCTACACATGTTTTTAAGTATTTTTCAAGTGTTTTGCAAGTTTTTCAGACGTATATTGCAAGTGTTTCTCTTGTTTTGAATGTATGTTCCAAGTGTTTTGTTTGGATGTTGTAAAAGTAGATCCAATGGGAACCCACCTACTGCAGCCCCCTGCTGCTGCTGCTAGGGCGCCGTGCATACACGTGGGAAGCGGAGGGGGATGGAGGCAGGGGCGCGGGCAGTCGCGGGCATGTGAAACGGGAGCTGTTGGGGCGCCATACATGCGCCGGGCACGGGGAGCGGAGGGGGAAGGAGGCAGGGGCGTGTGGGCCCACGTGCATGCGGGCGCGGGAAGCAGAGGGGGTGCGGACGAGAGGCGTGGAGGTTCCCACGTGCGCCTGAAATGGAGCAGGAGCCGCGGGCATTCGTCCGGACGTCTAGACGTTAGCCATACCATCAAGTTTTTGTATCCCTCGCATTACTCCAATGCTCTGGTGTGGGTATGGCCATATGGGAGCTGCAATTGCCCCTGCCTAGGGGGCAGCTGGAGGGGAAGAGGAAGAGGACAGAAGTGCAATTGAAGGAAGTCGAAAAGGTTCATGCCAAGGTGCTCTGGGAGCTGCCCAGCTTCAAGGAGTCCTGGTTGCCGCCAGCGCCGTTCCAGTACCCGATCCTCACGGCAGACGGTGCCCTATGCTTCGTGCTGGTTGACCAGAGCATACTCCCACAACGTGACCGCCCTTTGGTTGATCACTTCTACATCTTTGACATGCGCTACAAGAGGCTTCTATGGCACGGACTTGTTCACAACTACCATCAGCCTGTTTGTTTGGCTTGTGCTTGTCGTATACGATCGTAAATTTTCAGCCGGAACAATAGTTTTCTCTCACACAAACCAGCCAGCAGTACTTCTTCACGAACCAGCAATGATACGAATCAGCCAACCGAACAGGCCACATATTTTTGAGACCCTTATCATGCAACCTTCTTCCAACTTCCTCACAATGAAGCAATGTTCCCGCGAGAGGAGTTCTGTGGAACACTGCCCTGCAGCAGAGCTGCAGGCAATGGAAGATAGTGAGTGAGGTTGTTACTACCACACTGCTGTTTCAATTAATATTTTTTTATCTGTGTGATTCATGCTTGATGAATTTGTCAGACGCTTCTCCTTTATTTTATTTATTTATTTTTAACCCCACAGAGTGCGTCGGCTTCCCGCGGAGAACCAAGCGCCACGTCATCTCAAAGTTTTTCGTCCATTAGATCTTCCAATCCGATGGCTCTCCTTCTTTCCGCAAAATCCTATCGAAGCGGCTTCCCGGATTCTCCCTGCCTTCTTCACCTTCTTCTCTACTTCTTCGGCTTCTCGTCCAAATCCAACCAACTAAATATATAGCCAGCTTCGGCTTCCTTCCTGAAGCTTCTCAAAATATCTCGTCTGGGCTCTTCTCTCTCGCACTCGCTCGTCTCCCCGACCGCCGCCGATCCTCCCGCAGACGCCGCCTCCGTCGCCTCCGCTCCCACCTTCCCTTCCTCCCCTCTCTCAACCTCTTCCTCTCTCCCGACGTGGCGGCGTGTCGGCCGGGCCCAGCGCCGCCGGATGGCCACGCGGCGCGCTGCTGGTGCGACTGCGCCCCGGACAGCGGCGCAGCGCCGCACGTGGGCCCCGGTGGTGGGCTTCGCCGGCCACGGAGCGGCCCGGGTGTGCTCACCGGTGGCCACGCGGCGTGGCTTCTCCCTGCCGCCGTCTCCCGCGCCATTCGCCTATGCTGACGAAACCCCAGCCGCCTGTGCTCGACGTATCCGGCGGCGCCACGAGCCTCCACGGCTGTGCGTGGCATCTTCCTTGCCGGCGGCGACGGTGGCGGCTCCGCTCGGCAGCTACATCTGCCGGTACTGACCCTCTCCTCCTTCTCCGTCATCTCTCCTTTGGGTATGTCCTTTCTAATAATGCCATGCTGCTCTTCATGTTTTCAATAATCAGGATGCTAATTGATTTCAATAACTCTTTTTCCCGAAGGTTGCTTTGCTAAATCTCATTACAATATTGTCAGCATGGGCAAGGGTAGTTGATGCCATGGACACTGAGGTACCCAGTACTGTTGCAACAATATTGCCAACTCATGTAATTCTTATTACATACTGCCTGATCAAGCTTTTTCTTGTTCTCCAGTAGCTTTTCCTGAAGAAGGTTCAAGATTATTAGATTTTGCTGGGGCTGGTGCTACGCTACGGCAACTTTTGGATTCATTGTTAGCTGCAGGTATGCCTTGCCTGGGACCCTGCATGTATCATTCTCTTGAGTAAATTCATGAGTTAGTCTCCAATGTTTCATGGAATGCAGCTGCACATCTCCGATTGTTCCTCAGTTCTGCTCCTACATTGCACCGTCATCAAAAGGAATTTGTATTAGTGGAAATCGTGCTTCGGCTGAATTATGTCAAGCAGGGTATGGAATCCTTTTCGACACTGATTACAAATTATTCATTCATCTTCCTCATCACTTTGAACTGACCAGTTCCAATGTTTTATAGAAAACATACATCTATTCCCATTATCAAACTTTGGTCCACAAACGTTGTCCTTCTATTCGTGGTCAATGATATCTTTGTGAAAATCTATATTAATCTTGCCTTGGCTTTTGCAACAGATATATAGGCTTCATTGATCATTTTGTTTTTTCTTTTTTGCTGATTTCCAATAGTCAGGGGTTCCAATCTAAGACATCCCAAATTATTGCTAAGTGCAGGGAACGATTTAGCTCCTAATACCGTGCCTCATGGTGAAATGTCTTCGCTGCTCACTTCACTCCGACCAGCTGTATCCGATCTCAAAAATCTAAACCTGAATTTTTCAGTAGTGTTTGAAGGTTTCTACCTGATCTTATGATCACCCTACCTGATATACATATCCCTGTTTTGGTTGTTCTGAGCATCTTGTGTACTAACTATGTATTTTTCGGCTGCAGTAAAGATGATGTGCATCCACAGCTTGGTTCAGTCACTCTTTGTGCAGCTTTTTGAGAAGATTCATGTTTCAGTATGTAATCTTTCCTGCACCGCATATTCCCTTTCTAGGTTCATACTTACAAAGTTCTCATCATTGGTTATTTTTTATGATAAGATCAGGAGGACTTGCCCCTGCTTTTTTGCTATTGATTGAGTCTAGCAATGGTTCTAAGCGAATGATCAGCAAGGACTCATAAGTGGACATGGCCATCAGAGTGAAAAGAGTTGACAGTGTCCCGCTCTCGGTCAGTAATGCATTTTCTCTCGGAATGTCATTCTGCTACTGCAATTTTCATCTCTTGAGAACAATGTGCTATAAGCACTGCATGTTGGACCAACACTGGTGGTACTAGTTTGTGAAGTGTTGTTCTTACTGATTGTTTTATTGGATATCTCAGAGAATGAAGCAAGTGTAGTTCCAAATGCAATTCCAAATAGTGGATGTGGGCATGGTGGTGGTTTGGCCTTTTAGAATTTAAGTTACTATATTCTCTATCTAGAGTTATGTTGAAATTCAGGTACAGCAATGTGGTGACGAGATTTGGTTTCGTAAAGACTCTCGCTGCATGCTTAGGTCTATTTTGCATGCCACATGTGTCAGTAAAAGATATCATTAGAGATGTCCATGCATGATGAGTAAATTTGCAGTTGTGAACAACTTTGACAGTTTTGAGAAATTTGATGAGTGTTATGACACTGCACACAAATGCAGTATCCTCACGCCATTGCTTTGTGGGCCTGGTGTTGTGCATCCTTAAAAAGTGGTATTTTCATACATTACTTTGATTTCAAACACGCCTGCAATGAATGAATAGCCTGAATACTTTAGGTGTTCCTTTCAAGTGCTACTTTTCTTGTGGAAGGAGATACATGGTTAGAAAAACTGTTTCGGTGCAAGCCTTGCCTATATCATGGTTCAGCGGGATATCTGAAGGATCTGTAATGACTTTCTGTATCGCAATATCATTGTGTCGCTAAGATTCCTTTTTGATGCTGACAGGAATTTGCACTCTCTCACAAGTACCACAAGGAACTCCTCCAGTTGAAACAAAAAGACTACACAAAAGCTCATGAACTTCTCGAGGATGTTTTGATGGACCAAAAAAAATCAAACATTCAGACCAATTCACTTTGAACAGGTTGATAATAGTGGCTTTGTTCAACGTTTGTTGTAGCTATCTCATGGTTTTTAAAAATTCGTTCAAACACAGACTTTACCTGTCATGATTCTGCTGGTCCAGGTTAGTAACAGGATAGTTAAATTTGTTCTATGAAAAGCAACCAAGCCATTGATATTTTTCCGACTAGAAACATCTAGATCCACTACCACATTAGCATTTGTAAATGTAGCTTTTGCTTGTGCATAATTGTACTACAAAACTCATACCAAAATTCTATTTGTCCACATAGAAAAAATTGCTTTTTTTGGTTACGCTTCAGTACTCATGGTTGTAAAATGTATTAGCCTCCTATATTTTTTACTTCATAGTTGCAAAATATATCAGACTCTAGTACTTTTGACAGAATATTTGTTCTTCTTCACTCATAATTTAATCCCGGTTACTTTCCTGGTATTAGCCTCCCTACAAACTAAGTTCAATTCATCTTCTTCACTCATAATTTAATCCCGGTTACTTTCCTGGTAGTAGCCTCCCTACAAACTAAGTTCAATTCATTGTTTCTGCTAATGCAGTCATGTCACCTGTAAGTCACTGTACAGTATATTCAGCTTCGAATAGCTTAAATGTCTGAACCCATTGACAGCCACACTTATATACACTTATGAATTTTGGTGCATGCTTATCTCACACTTTCTTAGATCGATTTTTACTACCATTTCTTATGGGAAAATAGTTTTGGATTGTGGCCTCACTATTCTCTGCCTTGCTACAGGTTCATGCGAAATGCAAGTTCCAGTAACTGAGGTATACATGATTTGTGCTTTGACTCTGATAACCTATCTGTGGCAATTAATAGATCCACTTTCCTCCTATTTCTCTTGTGGTAAACAGGATGCAGGCTGTTACACACCTTCATCGTCCTTCTAAGCGGTTGATGCTCATCCTTTTCCTACTTCGTTGATCAAACACCCTAACCAGCAAAATTTTTGCTGGGCCATTGGAAATTGAAATTTTCATGGTACGTAGCCTGCATGAAGTTTTACCAAATTAACACTTACGATATACCTTTTTTTAAAGAAAAAACAACTGTTGTCCTATCTCACAAATGCTATTAGTGCAATCACTGAGATTACTCTATCTATCACAGTTTAAATACCCAAACAACCCTATCATACTCATAAATAGGGGTATTCTCATAGACGGTATGATATCAAATATGTTTCTTTTTCTTTTGCTTTACATGATCTCCAACACTAAGATGCCACTATGCTTAAATTCTTGGCTTCAGTAGCTGCATTTTACCTCACCTTTTTTTCTTAGCTATTGATACGTCAGATAGTTTTTCTCATTGGTAACCAAATTATGGATGCCACTGCAGGATACAGATTAGATGTTTGCCGTCCTAGGGAAAAAGAGATTACAAAAGTTTTGCCTGTTATGTTTTTATTTTATAGTAATTTGATTGAAACGAACAAAAAATCCATAGTTGTGGTTTAATTAGATTTTTGTTGCAGAAACCTCGTGCTTTGTGTTTTGTTTTTTAGGTTAAGTGAGATCATTGCATATACAATGGACAACAATAACAACATAGCCTTTCAGTCCCAAACAAGTTGGGGTAGGCTAGAGTTGAAAACCACCAAGAGCCCCAAGTCACGGTTCAGGCACTTCAATTGCTGCTTTCCAATTACTCCTATTCAAACATAGATCTCTAGGGATATCTCAAGCTTTCAAATCTCTTTTTATTGCCTCCCACCATGTCAATTTCGGTCTTCCTCTCATATTATTAGCTTGATTTAGGACTCCACAATGCACTGATGCCTCTGGAGGTCTCCTTTGGACGTGGCCAAACCACCTCAACTGATGTTGGACAAGCTTTTCTTCAATTGGTGCTACCTCTAGGCGATCACATATATCATCGTTCCGAACTCCGTCCATTCTTGTGTGACCGCAAATCCATCGCAACATACACATTTCTGCAACACTCAATTGTTGAACATGTCGAATCTTTGTAGGCCAACATTCTGCTCCATACAACATAGCCGGTCTAATCGCCGTTTTATAGAACTTGCCTTTTAGCTTTTGTGGTACCCTCTTGTCACGAGAGAATGCCGTAAGCTTGTCGCCACTTTATCCACCCTCGCTGATTCTATGGCTAACGTCCGCATCAATATCTCCATCCTCTCAGTAGCATCGATCTCAGATATCGAAATGTATCCTTCTTTGGCACTACTTGACCTTCCAAACTCACATCTCCCTCCTTCTGTACACCTCCACCAAAGTCGCATCTCATGTATTCGGTTTTAGTTCTGCTCAATCCAAAACCTTTAGACTCAAGGGTCTGCTGCTATAACTCTAGTTTTCTATTTATTCCCGCCTGGCTTTTGTCCACTAGCACTACATCATCAGCGAACAACATACACCAAGGGATATCCCTTTGTATGTTCCTGGTAACCTCGTCCATTACCAAGGCAAAGAGATACGGGCTTAAAGCTGACCCTTGATGAAGTCCAATTTTAATCGAGAAGTAATCTGTGTTAACATCGTTTGTTCGAACACTAGTCACAACATTGTTGTACATGTCTTTGATGAGGGTCACGTACTTTGATGGGACTTTATGTTTGTCCAAAGACCACCACATAATATTTTTTGGTATCTTGTCATAAGCCTTCTCCAAGTCAATGAAAACCAAGTGGAGGTTATTCTTCTGCTCTCTAAACTGCTCTATAACCTGTCTTATTAAGAAGATTGCTTCTGTGGTTGACCTTCCAGGCATGAAACCAAATTGATTTGTTGATATATGCGTCATTTCTGGCAGGCGTTGCTCGATGACTCTCTCCCATAACTTCATAGTGTGGCTCATCAACTTAATTCTCCGATAATTAGTACAACTTTGGATATCTCCCTTGATCTTGTAGATTGGTATCAATATGCTTCTTCTCTACTTCTCAGGCATCTTGTTCAATATAAAGATATTGTTGAACATCTTGGTTAGCCATACTATAGCTATATCCCTGAGACATCTCCACACCTTGATTGGGATACCATTAGGGCCCATCGCTTTGCCCCCTTTCATCCTTTTCAAGGCTTCTCTGACCTCACCTGTAATATATACTGTAGATTAATAAGATGTGTAAACGAAATATGGAGAACATACTTACTTTGTTCTTAACATGAGTTATGAAACATCTACTAAAATCAAGCCTTTCAAAAAAAATCACCAGGATAAGTTTTCTTATTTGGAGCATTAAGCAGAAAATTTTTCATTTCCAGTGAAGTCATTCTATTTATCCAAGTATAAGAGACCGAAGCAATAATAGTATGTTTCTTAGAAGAAACACCACTACTTTTGTTAGAAGAACCACCGCCAAGAGCATTCTCGAACTTAACTTTATCTGTTTGAGGCAATTCATGAAAATAAATCATGAGAGAGTCAAATAATTTAATTCTAGCTGTGGCTGACCAACCAACCAGATTCAGATAGACGGTTGCTCTTTTGACCTTGGACTCAAATTCTGTGCCAGTATTTGTCAAGCTCAATATCCAGGCTTCCAGATCGTTCATAAACATAGTATATCACTGATCTATCCCATTCTGACTTGTGTACCTAAAGCATATCTTGATAAAAGCTACCAGAACAAGGAGGTCCAGAATATAATTTGATTGATTACTTTTTTAGCTTCTTTTCTAATCTCCACAGTTTCAGAATCAGGTAAATACTAAATATCATCTATATACTGAAATCACCTTTGTATGTGAATCCATCAGTGTGACAATTTTATAAAGCCTTGGTTAACATACAATATAATTGCCGGGCAAAATCACCAAGAGCAATGATAAAAGTAGGTCAGCAGTCAAGTCTACCCTTTCAAAAAAGCCACCCTTCAGTTTTGCTCTCTCGATAACGTGTTTGAAAGCAATTGGAATATTTCTGTGACCACCTCTCAATCTATGCCTGACCTCAAAATGCATGATTTCTAAAGAATAGTGCAGGCCTCGGCTGTCTTATCATCACACAGAAGTATATGTCATCTAAATAAATACCAAGCTTATCCATTGCCTTATTGACAGATATTCCAAGGTAGAAAATATCTTGACAAAGAGAAAGAGATATTTTCTACCTTGGAAGAGATATTTTCTACCTTGGAATATGCTGTCAAGATTATTGTCAAGGTTACAGTATATCTTCTGGGTGAGGAAGTTGAAGTATTTGTCAAGATATTTTCTACCTTGAATATGCTGTCTTCTGGGTGAGGAAGTTGAAGTATTTGTCAAATATTTTCTACCTTGGAATATGCTGTCAGTAAGGCAATGGATAAGCTGGTATTTATTTAGATGACATCTACTTCCTGTGTGATGGTAAGACAGCCGAGGCCTGCACTATTATTTAGAAATCATGCATTTTGATGTCCAGGCATAGATTGATAGGTGGTCATAGAAATATTCCAATTGCAATATTCCAATTGCTTTCAAACACGTTATCGAGAGAGCAAGACTGGAGGGTGACTGGAGGGTGGTTTTTTTGAAAGGGTAGACTTGACTGCTGACCTACGGACGTGAAACAAAGCAACTTTTGTCATTGCTTTTGGTGATTTTGCCCGGCACTTATATTGTATGTTAACCAAGGTTTTAGAAGATTGTCACAGTGATTGATTCACATACAAAGGTGGTTTCAGTATAGATGATATTTGGTATTTACCTAATTCTGAAACTGTGGAGATTAGAAAAGAAGCTGAAAAAGTATTGAATCAATCAAATTATATTCTAGACCACCTTTTTTTGGTAGCTGTTATCAAGATGTGCTTTAAGTACACAAGTCAGAATGGGATATATCAATACTATGTTATTATGTTTATGGACGATCCGTAGCCTCAGATATTGGGCTTGACAAATACCGGCACGTAATCCGAGTCCTTTGTCAAAAGAGCAACCGTCTATCTAAATCCGATTGGCTGGTCAAATGTGGCTAGAATTAAATTATTTGACTAACTCATGATTCATTTTCACAAATTGCCTC